CAAACCTCGGGAGCGGAGCCATCATTCCAGAAACTGACAGGCTGTCGCCCCCTCTCCCTGGGACATTTCCAAAGCTCACACCTCCACTGCCAATGCCCCCTAGAGCTCAGCAGTCTCTACTGCAGCTACAGCGTGAGAGAGCATCTGAGGGGGAGCATAAAGAGCACTGTATATACATAGAATGCTGACAAGGGGTGCATGAATAACGCCACTCCGTCTTGCAGCCCAGCGTTCTTCCCTTTGAGATTATAACCCAATTCCCCTCCGAACGCCTTGATTCACCCTGCCTCCACCTACATACAGAGGAAACATATTCCAGGTCATCATAGAATCACATCTTAGAATCAAACAGTACAGAAGAGACCCTTTGGCCAATCCAGTCTGTGCTGCCAAAAACACACTGAATAAATCTAAACTGATCTTAATCACTGGCTGTGTGAAAGGGTGCGGGGGGTATCTTATCTTTCTTCCATTGCTTTCTTTATCAGACCTTTTTTTACCCAAAATTAATTCACGGGATGTGGACTTCACTGACTAGACCAGCATTTTATTGACCAAACTGACTTTATCCACAACTGACTTCTTAAATTGTTGCATTTCATGTGGTGTAGTACACTCTCAGTGCTGTTAGGAGATGAATTCCAGGATTTTGAACCAATGACACTGAAGGAACATTAATATCGTGTCAAGTCAGGATGGTCTAATGCTTAGAAGGGTATTTGCAGGTGATGGTGTTCCCATGCATCTCCTGACCTTGCCCTTCTAAGTGGTAGCGGTCTTGTAATGGAACATTTAGAAATACATAATATGATCAAGCAAAGTCAGCATGGCATCACTTTGAGAATGTAATGAGCAGGATAAAGGGAAACAATCGATGTTTGATCAGGTACCACACTGAATATCTTTAAGGCAGAGTTGGATATAATTCTTAGGACTAAAAGGACCAAAGGGTATGGGGAGAAAGCAGGGTTATATTGAATGGTGGAGCAGGCTTGAAGGGTCAATTGGCTAACTTCTGCCCTACTTTCTATGTTTCCGCGTTAAGCTACTTAAGAGTTCACGCTACTTAATACTTGGGGTTGGGATAAGGGGGGCATTATCAGGGTGGTGGTAGCAGGCCTGTGTACAGGGATGAGTGCTAGGCCCCTTACTGTACAGGATATATATAAACAATACAGAAAATGTCATGGTGGGGGTTGAAGATGATAACGAAGTTTGCAGACAATGCAAAGATTGGTCAGGTGTTTGACAGTGACGGAGGAGATCTTGGAGCATTTTGGCTATGAGAGAGGCTGGATAAGATTAGGATGTTTTCTTTAGAGCAGAACAGGCTGACAAGAAAGCTAAATGAAGGGCATGGACAGACGGATAGAAAGCAGCTGTTCCCCTTAGTTGAATAACAAGAAGACATATTAAGGTGAAAGGCAGAAGGTTGAGGGGATTTGAGAAAAAGGTTTTTCATCTAGAGGGTGGTGGAAATCTGGAATTCATGCCTAGGAAAGTAGTTGTAGAAAATCTCATAACCTTTAAAAAAATATTTGGATGAGCAGCTGAAATGTCATAACATTCAAGGCTATGGGCCAAGTGCTGGAAAGTGGCACTAGTGCAGATATAGCGTAATTTATGGGCCAAACAGCCTCTTCCGTACTGCATGAATCTATGGTGAGGATAAAAAGGGTACAGTTGTGTTTGATAGAGTTTCTTATTCAGTCTTTCAGGTCTGCGATTGCTGAGGGAAGTTTCACTTAAAGAGCTTAACTGTATCTCTTTGAACTCTCTCGAGTGTGATATGTCTTGAAGGTAAGACAGCAAAGAGTGGATCTGAAGTTGGTGCCTCAATCTGCTAGATGTATCTTTTTAGCATGACACTTACATTCCATCAGCATTGGCAGTTACCTCTCTGATGGTAGTCTCCCTCCTAGTTTTAATAATGACTGTCTTTTCCCATGATTATAATATGATTATGTTTATTAAAGGCCAACAGTAACATTCTGACAAATGTGCTCGCTCCAAGGTCAGTTCATTAAAATGGACAACAGCTGAGGCTTGACACTAATCAGTTTCCTCAGCTCCATCTGGACATTTTTATCCGTCACTGCTTCAGTTAAAAGATTTTTCATCCAAGTTTCCTCTGTTGGGTTAAAGGAAGAATCCAGGAGGATACTGACTAGCTTCAGAGACTATGTCCTCTTTCTGACAAATTATATCATATAATTTCTGCTGCACCTGCAAAAAACCACTGCTATCACCAAACACCTTAGTTCTGAGGAAGGGTCACCGGACCCGAAACTTTAACTGTTTTTTCCTTCACAGATGCTGCCAGACCTGCTGAGCTTTTCCAGCAACTTTGTTTTTGTTCCTGATTTACAGTATCTGCAGTTCTTTCAGGTTTTACCTTAGTTGGGAATACAGGAATCAAATCTGACTTTTCTGGGTATCAATACCTCCGTAATAGTCTTCTGAATGTTCTTCAAACAAACAGATACTCCACCAAGAACATTATTTGCTTGTTTTCATTGAGGCACATGGATGTGGTTACAATCTGCATGTCCTCGATCCAGCCTTCAGCCAAAAGATCACTTCATATTTTTGGTCTCCCTCCAAACTCAACCAGCTTTCTTTTCATTGGTAGATGGAACATACTCCTTCATTCGTCCACTGAGTTTAATGGAGGTCATATTGAGGGTTTCTTCCTTGTTTCCTGTACAACTTTGTCCTTTAGAGCCTGTGCCTATGTGACAGCTGGGGTTCTCTGGTCTCTTACATTGATACAGCCTGTTTCAGTTCCTTAACTTTACACTCCATCTCTGCCAAGTGCCTTTCAATCTCTTCGGATATGATTAAAGACAAAGAACCACTCAATATGTTGAGCTATGGTGACTTCACCAGTGATATCTGCTGGACGGAATCAGCTGCCTGAATCTTCTCAACTATAAAAAACTTACAAGAGCTTGATGCTTGCAATGTGAAATTCTGCTGACCACAGCAATAATACAGGAAAAGCACAATGAGTGCACTGAAGATACCAGTTCAGTGATTCGTCACTCCACTGACAGCAAACATTAAAAGCAAAGAGGCAACAAAAGCTCTCGAGACTAAACAATGCAACAGTTGAAAGCACAACTCCAATATCAAACCAACACAACAAAACAGAACTAGGTGAATTTTGTAAACCTGAATTACAAAGTGTTGGAGAAACTCAGCGTGTCTTGCAGCATCTGTAGAGGGAGAAACCAAATTAACTTTTCAAATCCATATGACTCCCCTGCAAAGAAGTTTTTCCAGCATTTTTAAAAAATTAAGCTGTTAAAACTGATCCCATGACTCACTCTGCAATGGCCCAGTAACCCACCAGAACTGTTCCAAAAATCACAAGAGAATCCAGTGCTCAGAAAACCCCCATGCCCTCTACAGCCTTCAGCCCAGGGGGCTGCACTAGACCCGACTGGCAGCCGCCACAGCGAGCACAGGCCCAGCACCATGCTGATCTCATCAATTTCACCAGCATGGCAAGAGAATCAGTGAGACAGCCCCAATGTCCCACAAGAGGAGGGCTAATAAATGTCAGACAACTGTGACAGATAGTGCAAATTATGTGGGGCCTTTTCCAAAAAACAAAGGGGCTGATGGAAGGAAATGTGCAATAAAGGAAAAGGGACTTCTTTGCCTGAGACTGCATGAATTTGTATGAACCTGACGCCAACTGAAAATTTATCTGCTTAATTTTCCTTAAATTGAGGCTTCTGCTTCACTTGTGTGGATATCACAGACTAACATCCGTGTTCCCTCAACAGTTAATGAATATAGTCACCAATGTGATCATAACCATCTGAGGAAGGCTATAGGTAGTGGTATTATTGTTGGACTATTAATTCAGAGACCCAGGTAATGTTCCAGAGATCTGGGTTTGAATCCCACCAAGGCAGATGTCGGTGTTTGAATTCAATAAAAAAATTAAGAATCTAATGATGACCATGAAACTATTATTGATTGTCAGGAAAAACCCATCTGGGTCAGTAACGTTGTTTAGGAAACTGCTGTCCTGACTCTTACTGGCCTCAGACCAACTAAGGATGAGCAATAAATACTGACCAGCGAAGCCCACAACCTTACAAAGAACAGAAAAGATCATTGCACTGCCCTTGAAAGGTTGGGCATATAATCAATTGGAAAATGTGGCTGATTTACTGTTGGCAGTTAATAAATGAAAATTGCCACAGACAACTTGGTGATGGGGGGAAAGTATTTGGTTGTGCGTAAGAGCACTTGCCAATATGAAAAATAGTCACTTTTTTTAAGGGATGCCAACTGACAGATCATTGCTGGGCAGGTCACCAGGGATACCTCCTCTTCAAAACAGAGCCATGTAATCTATCAGATTCATGGAATCTATCAGATCCATTACAAACAGGTAACTGTCCTCTGACAGTAGGGTGCTCACTATCATGTTCCTTTTTAAATATATTTTCTAATCAACCTGTTCAGTGATGTTATTACAACCTCTGGAGGTGGAACTTGATCTACGGTTCGTGGCTGAGAGGTGAGAACACTAGCACTGCCACAAAAGTCAATAAAGAGTGGAAGATCATGTCAATTATTCAAGTGAATCGTAAAGATTTTTGGATACTTTCTAATAAATTACACACCTCCAGAGCAGGTGGACCTGGCTCAGAGGTAGGGACACTACTGTGCCAAAAGACCCCTCTTCCCTGCAGTGTTGCACTGTCAATTATAGTCCCGGGATGAGACTTGAAGATGGCATCTTGTGGTTCAGAAGTGACAGTGCTACCCACTGAGCCATGGATGGCAGGGTCTGAAAAGCCAGTTCCCATGAAGACAAGCAAAGGGAAGGTAAAACGAGCTGAACCTAGACGATTCGGCTCTCTGATGCCCGTGTGTAAAGGGGTGGCAAGAAAAGAGGGAGAAAGGGGAATGGCGGCCCGGGACCTAGCCTCGGCCCTTTCCCAAAAAAGCCTCGCCCGGTGAACAACATCAATCACCTGGATGGGAAGGCAAGCCGCCCTCCTCCGCCGACGCTGCTACTCCTCTTCCTGCTGCTGTTACAGCTGAAACTCCATCTCCGAACGACGGGACCGAGAGATCCCAAGTCCGCCACCGGTCACCCACTGCTCTGTTCCCCCGACTCAGACTTCGGGAGCGGAGCCGTCACCCCGGAAACCGCCAGGCTGCCTCCCCCTCTCCCTGGGACATTTCCAAAGCTCATACCTCCACCGCCACTGCCCCCTAGAGCTCAGCAGTCTCTACTACAGCTAGAGCGTGAGAGCGTATCTGAGGGGGAGCATAAAGAGCACTGTATATACACAGAATGCTGACGAGGGGTGCATTCGGCCCGTCATGTCTGTTCCATTAATAACCCCTTGTAGCCCAGCACATTCTTCCCTTTCAGATCATAACCGAATTCCCTTCCGAACGCCTTGATTCACCCTGCCTCCACCCACATACGAAGGAAATATATTCCAGATCATCACAGAATCGTATATTAGAGTCAAACAGTACAGAAGAGACCCTTTTGGCCAATCCAGTCTGCGCTGCCAAAAACACACTAAATAAATCTAAACAGATCTTAATCACCGGCTGCGTGAAAAGGTACCTCCCGCCCCCATCTCTCTTCCATTGCTTTCTTTATCAGTTGTTTTTTACCTAAAATTAATTCACGGAGTGTGGACCTCACCTGCCAGACCAGCTTTTATTGACCATCCAAAGCTGACTTCTTAAATTGCTGAAGTTCACGTGGTATAGTACACTCCCAATGCTGCTAGGAAGTGAATTCCAGGATTTTGAACCAATGACACTGAAGGAACAGCAAAATAATGCCAAGTCAGAATGGTCTAATGCTTGGAAGAGTATTTGCAGGTGGTGGTGTTCCCATGCATCTCCTGCCCTTGCCCTTGTACGTGGTAGAGGTCATGTAGTGGAACATTTATAAATACATAATATGATCAAGCAAACACAGCATGGCATTACTTTGAGGATGTAACAAGCAGGATAGGTAAAGGGAACAATAGATGTAATATTGAATCAGAGATAGTAGGAACTGCAGATGCTGGAAAATCTGAGATAACAAGGTGTAGAGCTGGATGAACACAGGAGGCCAAGCAGCATCATAGGAGCAGGAAGGCTGACGTTTCGGGTATTTTCTGATGAAGGGTCTAGGCCCGAAACGTCAGCCTTCCTGCTCCTATGATGCTGCTTGGCCTGCTGTGTTCATCCAGCTCTACACCTTGTTATCAATAGATTTAATATATTTGGATTTGTAGAAGATGTTTGATCAGGTACCACACATTGAATATCTTCAAGGCAGAGTTGGATAAAAAGATCAAAGGGTATTGGGAGAAAGTAGGAAAAGGTATTGAGTTAGATGATCAGCCATTATTATATTGAATGGTGGAGCAGGCTCAAAGGGCCAATTGACCAACTTCTGTCCTATTTTCTATGTTTCTGTGTTAAGCTGCTTAATAAGATAAGAATCCACAGTTTTGGGATTAGTATATAAGCATGGATAAAGTTGAGACAAGGGGGGTATTTTCAGGATGCCAAGCTATAACCAATGGAGTGCCAGAAGGATCATAGGTCTGGAAGGTTCTGTCTGAGAAGACTTGGTCAGCTGTTGTAGTGCATCTTGTACATGGTACATACTGCTGTGACTGAGCATCAGTGGGTGAAGGAATGAATGTGGAATACGGTGGGTTGTTGTCAATCAAGCAGGCATTTTTGTCCTGGATGGTATTGAGCTTCTTGAGTGCTGTTAGAGCCACACTCATGCAGGCAAGAAGAGAGCATTCCATCACACTCTTCACTTTTGGATGGTGGACAGACTTTGGAGAATCAGAAGCTGAGTTGCTTATCTCAGAATTCCTAGGTTCTGGAATGTAATTATCAAAAAATTGTAATGGCTATTACAGTTCAAAATTTGGTCAAGGATAATACCTGACACTGCTTTCCATTTAATTGCCCAAGCCCGGATATTGTCCAGGTCTTGTTACATTTCAGCATAGAATGCTTCAGTATCTGAGAAGTTAAGAATGAAACTGGACGTTGGGTAATCATCAACGAACAATCTCACTTCTGACGTTATGATGGAAGGAAGATCAATGATGAAGCAGCTGAAGATGGTTAAGCTTAGGACATTACCCTCAGGACAAAGCGTTCTTGTGGTACAGTCATGGTCCCTACCTCTGAGCTAGGAGGCCTGGTTTCATGCCCCAACATTTCCAGAGATGTGTAATAACATCTCTGAACACATTGATGAGTGAATATCTATCTTGCAGGACTAATGGAGCTGAGATTATTGGCTTCCAACATCCACAGCAAACCAGAAACTGCCCTGAAAATCTCATCCACAGCCATGTTCCTTTGTGCTAGATTTGACTTCAACCAGAGCTTTTCCCAGATTCCCAATACATTTAGTTTTGTTGGGCTCTTAATGCCATACTTGATAAAGTGCCACCTTGTCATCAAGAGCAGTAACTTTCATCCCACCTGTGGAATTCAGCTCTATTTCCTACTGTTATGACACAGAACCAGACAGCTGAACCAAATCAACCCCTCTGTCTCCGTATTTGCAACACAGTAAAATTAAAATCTTTGAAGACCCTCAATAGTTATGCCAATGATTCCTAATCAGACTTTGTGAACATTAATTCCAGATACCACTTTTGTATCTTAACGAAGAGGCTGAACAATTTATTAGATGTATAATAACTTCAGGAGAGAAAAATATTAAACAACAAATGATATAATTACTGTTTATACTTTGAACCCAAAACATTTGTACTCAGCTCCCACTCACTAAAAACGCAGACAGACAAACAAACAAACACAATTAAGAGATAAATAAAAGAAATAATAAAACTGGGCAGGTTACCTAAATGGTTTACAAAATGCATTGTTTCACAGACTCCTTGATTGCTTTTCTGGAGATGTCAATCAAGGTCATTTTTTCAGCTCACTCAGGCAAAGGTAGTAATATTTCTAATTCAGCTTTCTATTCTTTGGGGTACCAAAAGCTGGTAAGGAGGGTTAGGCAAGAAACTTTCAAATCTTCATGCTGTTTTATCAGCAATCAAAGTTCTTTTCCCAGGAAAACACAGTCCAAAGAAACAACACCAACTCTGGTCCCACTGATAGACTGAACATCTTTTCCTGAAGCCTCAATTACCCTTCAACATCTGTCATCTGCTTGAATACAGGATCTCTTGCAGACTTGCCAGAACTTATTCCCAGGTCCTAACTTCATTCTGCTATCTCTTTAAACACAAATAAGCAAAATCTGTTTGTTTGTAAGGCTGGGCCTGGAGGTTAATAGCAGGCTGATTTTTAATTTAAAGGGTTCCTACAGACACAAGTTTGTTTGATCTATTCTTTTCCGTTTACCATAAGTTGCTTGCCAAAGTCGAAAAGTAACTTTCAGCTCACAATTCCCATTTCACAGCTCTAAACCAAAATTGATAAAAGAATAAATCTAAAAATATTCAAAAATCAGCGACATTCGGATCAAGGCTGTAATGAGGTTATGAGCTGTGTGGCCCTAGTCAAACCAAAACTGAACATCAATAAACAGGTTATTATTAAGTAAATTTTGCTTGATATCACTGAGGATTACACCTTTCATCACCTCCTGTAATACTGATGGCTCAGTTATTAGCAGATCAGATTCGTCTTTGACTTATCTTTTCTGCGAGAAACTTGGGCAGTTTTCCATACTGTTGGACAGATATTAGTGTTGAGGCTGTGCTGGGACAGCTAAATGCCTGATTAGAATAGAATTGCACCAGGGCTTCTGGAAGTAGCTACAGTGAGGATACCCTAGACTTATGAACTCCCCACTTGGAATGCCTGGCAGCCTTTGAATTCAACCCATCATGTGTCTTGAATTGAGTTATCTGAGGGTTGGCATCTGTGATGGTGTGGACCTCACGAAGTGTCCAAGGTGAATCATTAACTTTTTGCGCTTCTGGCTTAAGCCTTGTGTTATGCACTGATGTGCTGTCATTATGAAATGAAAGGTTTGGTGAAGTGTTTTCGCTAAATTCATAGTGAAGATACACATTTGGAACTGACATACTTCATTTTATAGAATTTACAGTGCAGAAGGAGGCCACTCTACCCATCGTGTTTATACCAGGTATTGAAAGAGATACACAGCTAGTCCTTTTCTCTAGCCCTATTGCTGCAGCCCTCTGAATTCATCACTTTCAGATACATATCTGGTTCTCTCATGGAATCTGCCTCCACCACTCTACCAAGCATTGCATTCCAAACCCTAACAACTCCACGAGTAAAGAAGTTTCTCTTCATCTCACTCCTAGCTGTCTTGTTGACAATCTTGAAATTCTAATCCCTAGTTACTGACATACCAACTAGTGGAAACAGAATATCCTTTTTACTCTGTCAAAATTGCAAAATCATTCATTTCCAGTATCATTCTAGTAAATTTCCTTTGCACTATCCATGGCTTTAGCATCCTTCCTTAATAAAGTGCCCCAAACCCGAAGATCCTGTAAGCATTCTTAACAACTGTTTCAATTTGTCTGTTCACGTTCAAAGAATTGTGCACATGAACCCAATGGTCCCTCTGCTCTTGTAATCCCCTCAAATTCGTAACATTGAATCTATATTGTATCTCCATGTTTTTCCTATTAAAATGCATAACCTCACATTTCCCTGCATTGAAATTCATCTGCCAGGTGTCTGCCCATTTAGCCAACTTGTCAACGTCCCTCTGAAGTCACTCAGCATCATCCTCACAATTCACTATTTTCCCAGTTTAGTATCATCTGCAAGTTTAAAGATTTTGCCCTCAACACCCAGTTCCAAATCTTCAGAAAAAGCAGGGGTCCCAACACCGATTCCTGGGAGCACCACTTTCTACTTGTCTCCAATCTGAGAAATGCCTATCTTTTAGCCAACTTCTAATCAATGCTGCCCATTATGTTGATGAATCACTTGAAAATGGGAATTACGTACAAGTTAAATGAAAGGTAAGTCTGAACAGGAACACTTTATTGATGATCCTCACACCTCCACAGCCAGTTCTAGACTGCTTCCCAGCTTCACCCCACTGGGTCACTTAACCAGCTCTCTTAAAGGGGCAGGCCCCCAATTACATAACACCCCCCATCTTTATTTTAAACCCATTAATAAAAATACATACATCAATTATAAAGATTATACAGGCATTGTAACCAACATATGTA